CCTCCCTCCCAACAGCTTCCGTTGGGACTACGTGGACCTTCAGGATTCCAGCGTCCTCCCGGGCTTCACCAAGTTCCTGCAGGAGGGGGTGAGGGCGCGCTGGACCCACCCGCTGTTCCCGTCCCTCTCGTACCCCACCTGGACCTCGCTGGTGACGGGCCAGTACGCCGAGACCCACGGCGTCGTCGGGAACTACTTCTACGACGGCGACACCAAGGAGGAGTTCTCGCTCTTCGAGGCCGACTCCACCGGGAAGGAGAAGGTGCGGCCTCGGGGACACGCAGGCAGTGACGAACACACACATAAATAAATACTGCACACGCATACACACATATGTATATGTGTTTATTAATATTCACACACACACACACACACACACACATATATATGTATGTGTGTGTGTGTGTAAGTGTATGTGTATATGTATATGAATATATGAATGTATATATGTACACATATTTACATATATATATTTATTCATGTATACATATGTATTTATGTATATCTACATATATATATGTATATTAATTAAGCATATTAATTTCATGTGTTTGTTACAGTGGTGGACCTCAGAGCCCATTTGGACCACAGCAGAGCGTGCTGGTCTTCGCACGGCACAGTTCCTCTGGGCTCGCTGTGACGTCCCTGTGAATGGCATCACAACCCAGTTCTGCGAGCGCTTTGAAAAGATTCCCGGCAAGGAGATTTTCGAGAAGAATATCAAGAGGGCGTTGCAGAAATTTGACGAAGGATTCCAGTTCGTCCAGGTACATTGGAATGTATTCATTGACTAAAAGATACTATATACCAGAGGATGGGTTAGCTTACAAGATTTAGGTTGTGCTTTCTTACACCTCTTGTACTTTTCCTTACCTCTTCCTTAGGATTATCAGCAGCTGGGTGAACTGTTCGATATAAGTTTTATTTTTTAAAACTATGTAGTTCTCATAGTTTGGCCAAAATTCCTATTATTTCACACCTCCAATTCAGACTCATTTGCAATTTTCCTTTATTTTTTTAGAATTTTGAATTTGAATTTTGAGAATCACAGAGGATATAATTCTTATCATATTGCATATATTAATGAAATATGGATAGAAATGAACAGAGTTTACTACATTTATTTCTTGTTTGAATGAAAGAAAACTGAAAAAAAAAATGTCATTCTGCTTTTATAAGCAAATAGGAGTTCAAGGGTTTTACTCACTTACCTTGCTTTGCTAAGAGAAATAATCCCTAAGAATACAGGATATACTGTAATGGAAACTTTCAGGATTATGAGGCAAGAGTCCACTTCTGGTGAATCCATTCCTGATGTTCTCTGCAATGAGGTACTTCTGATAAATTAGGCATAGAGCTTTGTGCAACATTTGCCTTTGTTACATTTTGGTTGTGTTCGGTTTCCCACTCCGTTCCAGACCTAGCCCAGCCTTTCTTTAGTGGAACAGGCACTGACACATCTAGAGGCTGCATTACATTTGCATTTATAAATGGTTCTGCCTCCTTAACTAAACTGGTAACATAATTCATAATAACCTGTTCTTCTGCATCATATAGAAGAGTTTTTAATCCAGGTTTTGAGCTCATTTCATGATATCATAAGAGTTTGTGCGAGATTCAGGGATGTTGTAGTTCTCTTCAGTCCCTCAAATTGACAGTCTAAAGCTATAAAAAGTTAGCTGAAACCAAACTGATTATACAGTAAAACACTTAAAGGAAAAAAGTTTTTATACAGTTGCTAGTAGCTTACACAAAATGAGGATATAGATTTAGTTTTAACAGATTCATATTGAAGTATGCAAAGATCATCATCAACAATATTTTAATGCAATTATTATTACATTTTTATGTCTTCAGAGACTTCTTGCAAGACATTTTCTAAATAGGGAGATCTTTTCTGTTTAGCTTTCTCTGACATCTTGATTTTTTCAGCAACATTATACCTTGCAATTATAGATTTAATCTACTAGAATATGTAATATAATCATAGTTTTACATTACGCAGAATGTTGTCCAATATGTATGCAGTACATAATTCTAATATGTATGCGGCTCATACCCTAACTGGACACGCATTATATCTAATCTGGATGCATGTCCATAGTGGTTTTGCACACTGAGTCCTCTCTCTCTCTCTCTCTCTCTCTCTCTCTCTCTCTCTCTCTCTCTCTCTCTCTCTCTCTCTCTCTCTCTCTCTCTCTCTCTCTCTCTCTCTCTCAGATGAAATGCTTGTTTTGCATGTTACTGTCTCTCAAAGGAAAAAGTGGCTACTTGGTTATTAACATGGGTTACTTTTAGTTCATATGAAAAATGCCAGTGAAACCCTTTTTTTTTAATTTTAATTAATCTTCCACTTCTTCTGAATCTTGCCTTTGTTACTTAACCAATAAGCTTAACCTTTACCCTCTCATTTCTGTTCCTCAGCAATACACATTGATATTTTTCATTCATTCACACACACTTGTATAAGTAACAACCATACATATACAGTATATTGTTT